TTCAAGAACACTATTTCTGTGTTTAGACGTGGACAGGGAAAACTACGATTTTGTCTCACAATGTCAAAAGTGTGCACATTTACTTTTTTTGGTCAATTTGCACCATGTTTGTGAGCTGCTTTTGACAGTGTTTGGGTTTTTGCATTTCGATGTGAACTGAGGTTTTTCAAAATAAACTCTGAAGAATCCCTGTGTTAAAAAATACCTGTGCATGTGTGGACATAGTCATAGGACTGTTGTTGAGAGCCTTACCAATAAGCTTATAAAGATTGAGGTTCACTTTGGCACGATTACATAATTTAGTTCAGCTTGGTATAACTGTTTTTCACATACGGTCAGGTAGGTTTGGATGGCTTTTATAGATGATTTTTATCATCATTTAAACTATATAGTCATATCAAAAGAGACTTTTCACAGGACTGCACAAAGGCATTAGACTAGACTGAGTAGCAGTTAATCAAAGGTCTTGCTAATCAAATGCACTTGATGCGACCACCATTGTAAGAGAAGATTTTTGACCCTTTGCTGATTGGGAGGATTTTAGGTATGTGTGAACACTAAGCCGCAATCTTCCCAGGAGTGGACACTCTGGGAAGTTCACTCAAAGGTCAGATCATAGATTTGGTCAAACACTGGATGTCAGCGCAAACTCCATACCTATGGAACGCCAGGACTGCCATAATGAATTAATTAAATACACCATTAAATAATTAATTAAATGTGGCAATAATTAATTAAAATCGGAAATAATTAATTACATAAATATTTACGACACATGTAATTAATTAATCATTGACACATTTAATTAATTATTGACACATTTAATTAATTATTGACACATTTAATTATTTATTTATTTCACATTTTAATTAATTATTGCCACATTTAAATAATTATTTAATGGTGTATTTAATTCATTCATTATGGCAGTCCTGGCATTCCATACATACCAGCTGCCAAATACGATAAGGGAAAGTTGATCGTTTGGGCTTTTCTTGCAGCTGCAGAACCCGACCACTTTATTAATGATATAATCTGTTCTCTGGATTTCTCTGGTGACAGTTGCAGAAAGGAACTTAAGTCTTCTGTTTACACAATTCTTAATTCTTGGATGTATGTTTTTGAGAATTAGAAAATAGAGTAACATTACCACTGTAATCACTCATTTACTAACTACTTGCATGGAAATTTTCATCCTATGCAAGAAAATAGGTTTGCACAAAAAATACTGTCAGATTTAGGAGATTTGTATTTCATGTGTATTCTGAAATATGAATCTATTCTTATCACATTGTGTATGTTAGTAATTCAGAATCATGCAGAACAAACAGCCTCATGCTATCTCCATACAATCTGCATGCTGCCCTTTTCTCTTTATAAGGAAACATGTTTTCCTCCAGGTAGACCAGTGAAAGTAGTGACCCTGTTGTAATAGGGAAGTCTGCATCTCTCTCATACAACACACAAGAAATAAGGAGATAGGATGGCTGTAAATGGAACAATAAGTATTGGGAGTGCAAACCTCTGCCAAGGCAGCTTACTTTCTGGGCTGTTTTAATTTTTTTAGGGAATAGTATTATCTTTTACATGCAGATCACGAATATCATTATGATTACTGAGAGATGAGGCGAATAACACTGATAATCTCTTCATCATGAAACCCATTAGTGGTTGGGTATATATGAAGTTATGTGTTTGCAGGGTGGCTGTAGATCAGGAGGTAGAGCAGGTCAGATGCTGAAGGTTGGTGATTCGATCGCTGGGTCCCCCAGTTTGCACGCCAAATATCCTTGGGCAAGATACTAATCCCGACTTGCTCTCCGATGCATCCATCGAAGTATGAATGCATATGAATGATAGTTAGAAAAGCACTTACCGTATAGATAATATTGCTTGTATGTATGGGGTAAATGCGGCGTGTTGTATAGAGCGCTTTGAGTACTCCAGGAGAGTAGAAAAGCGCTATATAAGGATGAGATGATGATGAACCTACGATGAACCATAGATTTACATTAGCTACAGAAGGGCTCAAAGTCGTAACACACACAAAAATAATTTATCTCACAGCATTCAAAGAATGGGGATCAGACCACATAAATCCCCTTTTAAAACCACAAAAGTCTTCAGATGATATTAGTTCACCATCCCCTCTACAATGGTTAACACTTTGTTAACCACTTTGAGAACGGATGTAAAATGTGAAAGAAAATGTATCAGAACTAGAACAATAAATAATGGGAATCTGCCGATGCTGCCACACCACAAGAACATGTAATCAACAACCTGAGAAAACGATAGCTAGAATTAAATGAAATATTTAACCAGAGAACAAAATTTCTGATGCAAAGGTTGCGTTAGGACAACTTTGTATGTGGTACTAAATCTGGAAAATTCCTTACTAACCAGTTAAAGCTACATAAACAAAAAACAACAACATAAAATATATGGCTCTTAAAGTACCA